GTAACTGATCAGAGAGCAGTGTAGTCACGGAGCTTTAACTACTCCCATTTCTGGTCACAGAATGGTATCAGGGAGAGTAGGCTTTCTCTGCACACCAGCAGCCGGTCAGTGCATAGGCCTCTTGTCGTCAATATTGATTGATTCTTATGACAGAACTAGAACAAATTTAGTGTTTTGCAACCTTCTGTGATTTAATATTATTATGCTTTTTGCCATAACAGTCACAGAAATCCTTCTCCAATGGTGAGTAATTATAGCACTGTCTGCTAGCTCAGCTGTGGCTCTAAATGTTTCAGTGTTGCCAATACAAACTCCTAGATGTATTCTGGAGCTTGTAATACAGTTTTAAAATGAGCTGTACAGTTGCTTGATAAATAAAGGTGCTGCTGAGAAATAAATGGCAAGATCGGGAAAAGGTGGTCTCTCATTCTTTAAAATTTTCCAGAGAGTTGTACAGTAAGATATGAATATAGTTAGGAGAAAGATCTTAAGTGATTATTAAAACAAACAAAAAAACTAAGACAAGCTTGACTTTGGTGGCAATCTTCCCAATTCCTGTTGCTTTCACAAAGTATATTGGTGACCTTTTAGACATTACTGTTCAACAACTTATAACTATTGGTGGGAAGTTAGATTGTAGTAGTAATCTAGTTGGAAAGTCTTAATTTTTTTTCAGTCTACCATTGGGCTGAAGTATGATTTCGCTGATTACTAGATAGTCATATATCCTCAAATAAGAGAAATTCTTTTAAAACTATCTTAAGAATTTTAAAAATTTATATTTCTACTTAAATATAATTTAGAACATTGAGCATAGTTTGGAACATTCAGTTTCCTTTTTATAAACTATATAACCTAATTTGGGAAGCCTTTTTTTTTGGTAAGGTCATTTATGATAATTTAAAGGAACGGTTTTTCATACATATGTTTATTTTTGGATTATGCAAATTCTGAAGTTTGAGAGCACTGATTTTAATACAAAAATGTTTGCAGAGTCTGACTGTGAATTTAGATGGAAAGCATTGATAATAGAAATGAAAGATCTGAGGACTGTCCTCGTTGGCCACACATGTGGTTGGGAATGTTTCCTTGTCTTCCTAGGTTGCATCCTGATTCTGTCACTTGCTAACTCTGTGACCTTGGGCAAACTACATAAACTTCTGTGCCTCGCTTTCCTCTTTTCTGAATGGAGATGATAATTGTACTTAGAGTAGATGTGAGAATTAAATGAGCAATAATAGTATAAAACTATTTCACGTGCTCAATAAATTCTACCTGGGGAGTTAAAACGAATTGAGGTGAAAAACAAAAGGTGACCCAAGCAAAGTTTTTTTCATATTCTGTATTTTCTAATTAATTTTAATACTGGCCAGAATGACAAAGTTGCTTTTAGGAAAACGAAATGAAAAAAGCCTTAGGCACTTCTTTGGATTAAAGAAGACTAACAAGATATGAAAGTTTAAATATAATTTGGGATCCTGAATCAGGAAAAAAAATGCTATAAAAGTAGGATATTATTGGTGAATTTAAATATGGATTTATTAGATAAAAAGATTGTATTGCAGGATATTATTAGTAGATTTACATATGGATTTATTAGATAATAAGATTGTATTGCTGTTAAATTTTCTGAATTTGATAATTGTAGTGTTAGCAGTTGAAAAGTATAGGTGAAGGCTATTTCAGGGCTTTCAGTAGATTAATCTTGGAACTTTTCTGTAGGTTATGTTGAAGGATGGTGGAACATGCAATTCATACCTGAGTTAGCTCTTGTGTTTTGAGGTAGTTTCTCTGAGCACAGAGGTTGCTGATCCTATGGTGGATTTTTGGGAAGGGTAGACCTCAGGTTTTCAGTGGATCAGGATCACCTGTAGATGCATGGGCTGTTGGTGAGACTGTCGTTGACTGACTGGCACTCAGAGTTGTGTTTGCTGAAGTGAGTTTGTCCCTAACTAAATAACTTCCTCAGGCTAGGGGGCCGGCACAGGTTGACTGATTTAAAAAAGCTTGTTCATCCAGGTGAGTTTTTGTTAATTCCTTGAACAGGTTTAAATCAGTTATGGTACTTATGTGTTTCCAAAGGTACAGAAAAAGCTGTTGTTTTCCTAGGAATGTGAAAACTTAAAAAATATTATCAGTTCAAAAGTTTTTTAAATGAAGAAGTTTAAAATGGTATTAAAATTGGAGAAAATACTATTTTTGTTAGAGAACATCTGGAAAGATGAGATTCACCCTTGAGTGAAAATACCTTTATTGTTTTATCTGATCACCAAATTAATATTCCTTATAAAAATTAAGTAAGTTAGAAAAGTATTAAGAGTATTAAGTTACTGGTTATATAACCCAGAGGTGGTCCCTTTAACATTTTACTACAAAGATGTCTCTGCTTTTATGCCTGCTTGATTTGAATCTTGGCTTTCATTTCACAGATAGGATCTTGGTCAAGTTACTTTTTTTTTGGTACCGGGGTTTGAACTCGGGACCCTGTGTTTGCGAGGCAGGTGGTGGCACCACTGAGCTAAATCCCCAGCCCCCATGGTCAGGTTACTTAACCTCTCTGTGTTTCTGTTACCTCATCTATGAAACAAGAATAACAGTATTTGCTGTTATTACTGTATTATGTCCATTCTAAGAAAGTTGTTTCATTTTAAAGTTTCTGCAGTTGGGGTTTAACAACTATTGGTAGGGCTTTTGTTGTTCTTTGTTTTATGGCCCTCATCTTTTAGTAATGGTACATCTTATAACCTGTAGTGTATGTTAGACTGGATAATATATACTAGTATGTGTCCATCTTTTTTTTTTGTACCAGAAATGAACTTGGGACTTTGTGCTTGTGAGGCAGGCAGTGGAACCACTGAGCTAAATCCCTGGCCCTCTTTTTTTTTTTTTTTTTTAAATACACAAATGAAATCAAACAATAGATACTATCTTACGCTTTAAAATATTTTTATGGGGACATATTTTCAGTGTCAAATATGGATGTACTTTATTCTTATGGTAGTTGCATAATATGATGCTACATGGATTATTTTCTAATTTATTTTACTGCTCATATATTACATGGCATTTATTTAATTTTTGCTCTTATAGAAGATTTTGGTAAGTGGAGTTTAAGTGAAAGGGATACCTTATGGGAATAACCTGTGGGGAATTTGAGACAAAAAGTACAAGCTATACTTTGGAGCTTGTTTCTGTTTGACTAGAAAGGAAGTTTGGGACAGATTATAAAATACATTCAAGTACTGGGTTAAGGACTTTAGATTTTGCCTTTAAGATGTCATGGAACTATTCAACACTAAAGTCTAATTGGAAATTCCTTCTCTCAAACACATCTGCCCCTCCTCCCCTTTCCTTTCTTCTCTCCTCCCCCTCCCCTCCCCTCCCTCCTCCTCCTCCTTTCACGCTCTTCTCCTTCCCCTCTCCCCTCTGCTCTCTTTCAATTAGTTTCACCTGCAACCATGTCCGTATAATATAAATGATTGGATTATTATGAACTTAAATTGGTTGTGTTTAGCATGTTTATTAATAATTATGAGGACATAGAAGGTGTGCTCATTAGGTTTTTACTTCTGTTTATGAAATTATGAATAGTGGAAAAATGAGTTGGAGATAAAATTAAGTCTGCAATTATCTTTATAAGGCGTCATTGAATGGTTGAATCTCAGATGCTAAAAATTTCTGTAGATGAAGGTACAATTTTGCCTTTCACTTAAGAGAAATTTAAAAAAATCCCAGAAGAGTAGTTAACTCAAATGATTTAATGAACAGTACATTTGAAAAAGTTGTATCATTTTAATCAATCAAGAATTTGTTGCTTCAGTGGAAGCACCTCATCTGGAATAAGGTCTTAACTAGTTTGTTTGGCTCAGTTGTGGTTTGGAGTGCCATACTGAAAGAACACCGAGAAAATGAGAAATTAGGATGAATTTAAGAAGGGTGAAGGAACTACTATGTTGTATCAAGAAAAATTGGGGCCTGGGGTATAGAGTGGGTGTTTAACACATAGAGAAAAAGAAAAATGAGTAACTTGGGTGTAAAAGATGGAAGACCATTATGGTTTCTTTAAAGCAGTCCAGATTTGTTAGTATGACACTATTTTTCCTTTCCTTCATCAATTCCAGCTATCTCTCCTCATTTCTTGTGTTCTTTGAATATTCCGTAAACTTTAGGCATGTACTGTGCTGATATATAAGGAAAGTTACCAGGCAATGGTTTCTGAGGATGTTTGAAGATACATACTATGAGCAGCACTAGAAGGAAGCAATTCATCAATTTCAACTCAGATTTTTGTTTTTTTTTCTGTTCATGATTTTGTTTTCAAACTTTGTGATTAAATTGCTCTTAAAAATGTATTTTCAGAACACATGTCCAGTCTTGGAAATTTTATTACATTAAATTGATGTTATTGTCACATAGTAGTCTTTTTTTTTTTTGTACCAGGGATCGAACTTGGGTCCTTGCGCTTGCACAGCAGGCGGCGAAACCACTGAGCGAAATTCCCGGCCTGTCACATAGTATTCTTACTGAGCCAAAGATACCATGTAGTGTATTGACTGTGATTATTACTGTGAAAAGACCTAGGGCTCGAGCACCTGTTGATAGATGAGGAAACATAAACTCCTATACTCAAAATTTACTGGACAGGGCCTATGTTTTTTCTCTTATTTGTATCTTTGATTTTGAAATATTTCTGCAAACCAGCTAATATTTTAAAACTCCTGTATGAGTTTTACTCAGGGATCTTAAAAAAATTTCCTTTGAAAGGAAGGGATTAAACTTAGTAGGATGTTGATGTGATGGATTGGATTATTAAAATGCTTAATTCACAAGATTTTTCTGTTGCTGCTCATTATCCCAGAAAATATTATTTTTATTTGAAAATCTAAGCTGTGACCAGGTTCAGTTGTTTACCTGAGGAAAATTGAGAATGGATTTTTGTATAGAAAGTACTGAGTTTAAGTTTTGACTCTGGCTAGGAGTAAATTTTTTTTTTTAAACAGATCAAGAAGTTGGTATATGTTTACCTGGTCCGCTATGCTGAGGAACAGCAGGATCTGGCACTCCTGTCCATAAGCACTTTTCAGCGAGCCCTGAAGGTAAATGATGGAGTATGCAGGCAATAGCTACACAGTGTCTGCACAGTCGAAGGTGTGTCATTTAAAGAAGTGGAGTAATAATCCACTAAATAGCCCAGTAGTGTATTGAAAGTTAAAAGACCTCCCATAGTGCCTATTCAGTACCCTCAGAAAATAATTTATACAACCAAGTGGAACCTTACCAAATAAGTTGCAGTTTTGTGTTTCTTTATGTCTAGTAAAATTATTAATCTTACACTAAAGAACTGTGTATCATTACACAGTTGTTGAAAATGTGCAGAGAAGACAAAATATTTTAAAGATAACTTTTATGACATGTAGCATTTTATTATGAAACACTAAAAACGTAGCCCATTTAGTAATAAACTATCAAGTAGAATTTTGACCATTAATTTTCCTGTGAGAAATAAACATTTACTTCTTTTTTTCTTTTCCCATTTCCACATGCTGTTTATTAATTTTAAATTAAGAAGCTTTCTTATGCTATTGTTGTTATACACTATATGCACTTATAGATGTCTTTGAAACATTGTAAACTTGCAATTTTGATGAATGTTTTTGTACTATTTTCAGGACCCAAACCAATTAATTCGTGCAAGTGCTTTGAGAGTTCTCTCAAGTATTAGAGTGCCAATAATTGTGCCTATCATGATGCTCGCTATAAAGGAAGCATCTGCTGACTTATCACCATATGTCAGGAAGAATGCAGCTCATGCAATACAGAAACTGTACAGGTAGGTGTGCTGTTAATAATGTTGAAGACCTGTAATGTAACACGGAATGTTACAGACCATAGTAGAGGCTTATTTTATTAGCTCTTATGACTAATTTGTCCTTATTCTAAGTAAATTCAGCGTCTGTTTTTTCTCCTACATACACTCTTTTACATCTTTTATTTTGATTTGGTTTTAGAGACCCCCAAAGGTTTTTATTTGTAAGCCTATTAGGGCCTATGATGACTTACAGATTTTTGTAACTTTAATCAGAATTTGAATTCTCATTTGTAGTCTGTCTCATGTAGACATGAGTGTCTTAGAAGAAAATTGAGATTTTCCCCCCTTTATTGTAGAGTAAAATGTTAAGTGTATCATTCTTACAGTTCACTTACCTTTCTTTTTTTTTCTTCCATCTTTGTTCTTGCTGCTCCTTTCTTGAAGTCTGATTATTTTGCAGAGCTGTTTTATTAAATATGTTTTAAAAAGTGATTTTTTTCAATATAGTAACACCCTATATTTGTATGAGATTTTAACAAATGCCATACAGTGCCTTGATCTCTGTGGAAAACATTGTTTAAATAAAGTTATCTACCACAGTTCAGTATTATTTTCTGAAACCATTTATTTTACAAGCTTCTTTGAGACTGTGTGTTTGGTGTAATATTCATATTGTTGTTCTGTATGCATTAGATTTATAAAATTGGAGGATGGGTTACTTACTTCTGAATAACATATCACAAAGTAGAAGAAGGAAGTTAACCATATGCCAAATAATTAAAAGCACTCTGTAATTGTATAAACAACACATGCTATGTATGTATTTACAAAGGCCCATTAATGATGTCTTGATAGGTGAGGAGCCATCATATTATAAGTATACCAGAAAGTAAAAATGTAAATAAAATGGAAAGAGAGGACTTAGCTTGGAAAAAGGAATTTGAACTAAAGTTTGAAAGAATTAGAAAGGTTTAGATGTTTGAATGTTCAGATAATTAACAGTGGTTAATAACAAGCTTGCGTAATGTTTGTAAAACGTCCAAACTCATATTCTTAGGTTAACTTCAGGGAAAATTTTATGCTTCTCATTCATTATATTTTCTTTTAATAAATGCGGGATAAGATCCAAGCTTATTAAACTGTAATAGTTTAAAAGTGCATCTGTCATCAGGCTCCAGTTTAGTTTTCAGTCTCAACTCCTCGTTTTCCCTGCCTTGAGCTTGCACTCTTAGTAGTGCAGTACCACCTGTTAGTTTTGTGTATCAAATGTTTTAACCTTTTACTGCTTATTTTTTATAGGTTTTATATGGCAGGTTTTATAATGGATGTCTGCATTAGTGAACTAGTGTGTTACAAAATTCTTATTTGTAAATCTAAATTTAATTTTTTGTAAATTCTAAATTTGCTTTTGGTAATTTTGTATTTTTGTCAAAAATATTTGCTATCTGATCCCCCCCCCCCCCCGAGTTGAAAAAGAAATTTGTAGTTTATCTACTTGCATTTACTTTCTTGAACTTTTCCAACTTTTTAAAGAAGTGAACTTGTTCTTTAAATACTTTCTTAATGGCAAAGTTTAGTTCATGTGAGCAACTGTAGAGCAAAAGATTAGGACACATTTCTGAGAAAAACCATCCCATTTTACTTTAAATTTGGTTTTGTCTCTATCTTGAAAGCATTCTTTCTCCCCCTCACTTTTAAAATTTTTCAGCATCCATAAATGATGGGCATTACTTAAAGCTAGAATTAAAGGGGCTGGGGATTTAGCTCAGTGGTTCTGCCGCCTGCCTTGCAAGCTCAAGGACCTGAGTTCGATCCTCAGTACCAAAAAAAAAGCTAGAATTAAAGGGAAAAAATTAATGTGACTTTTTTTATATTTTAGCCTTGATCCAGAACAGAAGGAAATGTTAATTGAAGTAATTGAAAAACTTTTGAGAGATAAAAGCACAGTAAGTGATATTGTTATGTCATTAAAGTACAGTAAAATTGTTCTTTATTTACGTAGTATCATTTGCTATTGTATAGGTGATATAATTATTTTGGTTGATTTCAAAATGGTATGAATATTAATGGAACTTATGCCTATTTTTTAAATATTTAAAGAATAAAACTTTCCATGTAATGAGAAGTATCTGCAGTTGGAATTTTGGGTTGTTACATATTTCATTATCAGACTTTGATGAAGAGCAAGATGGGAGGAAAATCTTTTTGTTTAATCTGTGGCTAAATTATGAACTGCTTTTAAAGTTTAAGTTTTCATTTCTTTTGTTTATTTGTTGTTTTGGTTTTCTGTTTCACTGTGTAGTCCAGGCTGGCCTCAGACTCATGGCACTCCTCCTGCTACAGCCTCTTGAGTACTGGGGTTACAGGCACATGCCACCATGCTTGGCTAGGTTTTCATTTCAAGCCATGATATATTAGGCTTTTTAAAGGCTGAATCACCTGGGAACAAATAATTAAGAAGTATTAGAGAGATATTGAAAAATTAGAGGGATGTGTTATATTAAAAATGTTTTCAAAATTATGAAATCATTTTCATCAGTACAAGTTTGTTTTATTGGCTCCTAGGAATTATCTTTCTGATTAAAAAGAGTAATCCTTTGGGAATGTACCCTCCTCCTGTTTCTACCCATATTTTTTGTATGTAGTGAATGAGAGCAAGATCTAAGAATAGAACTGACCTGTAGGGTCTGGGAACAGGCCACTGGAGGGTCTAGTGGAGCTTCTGTGCCCACTTTATGACTTGAAACTACTGAGGAAAAGGATTCCAGCTTATTTTAGGATGCTATCACCTGGAAATAATGTGATATCTATGTGCAGCAGCCATGTAAGATAGTAATATATGGCCCTGTCTAGCTATTGTTTTGTGGGTTAGCATATGGAGAATGTTCAGTGTTCAACTGGGAAGAATGTATAATTTGCTTTTGCTGGGTAGTGTTCAGAGATGTTTCTTAGGTTTAATTTTTTTTTATAGAGTTGTTCAAATCTGCTATTTCTATGTTGATGTTATATCTAATGAGTCTACCCATTATTGAAAGTGGGATATTGAAGTCTGTTCAATTCTACCAGTGTTTGCTTCATATGTGTAGGAGCTCTGATGTTGTTGCATATATATTTATAAATTTTTCTTATTATAAAATGTTCTTTATCTCTAGTAAAACTTGTTTTAAAGTCTCTTTTGTCTGACATAAGCACAGCCATTCTAGCTTTTTCAAGATTGCTGTTTAAACTATATTGACATTCAACCTGTTTGTAATTTTTATTTATTCTGTGCCTCCTGTGGATTGTTGCCTCTTGTCTTTTAGTACAGTCTGACAATGTGTGCCTTTTGACTGGATTGTGTAATTCATCCACACTTACTATTAGATACTTGGATTTTCACCTGCCATTTTTCTTACTTTTCTATGTCTTGTGTATTTTTTGTTTCTCATTCCTCCTTTAGTACTTTTTTGGGCATGAAGTGAATATTTTAGCGACCATTTAAAATCCTTTAATAATTTTTAGTTTTTGATAGTACTGTATTTTTTCTTTTTTAATTTTTATTTTTATTAGTACATGTTTCTAGTACCTAATAATTACATCATTGTGTGGAGTAGGTATATGTACATTATACATCTTAATTCTGTTTGCTCTCTTCCTACTCCCTCCATCCATCACAGGGAGTTTATACTTAGAGTTTCATTTCTAGGCCCAACAACTTTTCTTTTTTTCTTTGTTTTTAAAATAACTTTATTATCAAACACACATACAAAAATTAAAACCATTCAAAGAAGAACAATGTGAGGGAAAAAAAACTACAATAATATTCAAATACAGTACAGCTCAACCAAAACAAAACTGAAAAGCACTTAAACATTTTTCCATATAACTTAAAAAAGCATCTCAAGCACCAACAAGACACCAGAGGATGTGATTTTTTTCAGAAAGATTCCCAAAACCAACATTGAACAAATAGTGGTCTGGACAAACGTCCAGTTAGCTAGCAGACTCCACATAAGCCAAGCTTCTTCCTAATTTAAATTTCAATACAGTCATATGACACGTGATGGAAACACAATCTGAGAAATCTGTTATTAGGCCATTTCATCCATGTATATCCTTAATTACACTTTCAGTTTCTCACATTAGAGAAACGATTCGGTATTTACACATATGTAAATATGTGTAACTTTCCTTTAGTCTAGAGTATAGCAGAAATCTTTATTGTATTTTTTTATAATTCAATTAACTTAATAAATGAGGAAAAAAAGAAAAAACAAAACTTGATCCTTTTGTCTTCTATATATGACAGGCATTCTATCTACTTCTAAGACCTGGATATTAAGCCATATTATGGATACTGCGATGTACTTGGTTATAGTAATTTTAAAAATACTGAGTTTTGGGGCAACCTACTTTCCAGTTGCCCTTCTATCTCTCTTAGATAAAAGCTCTCTTTCTCTCAATAAATTCTTCTTACTCTTTAAAAAAAATACTGAGTTTCTTTTTGTCTATAGGACATTTGCTAAGTACTGTGGAGACTAGTAAGACCTATAAGAAATGGAACCCTCCTTTTAATGTAGTTTCCTCTTATTTCTCCTCCATAGACAACAAGGGATTTGTTGGATGGCTGAGGTGTGTAACCTCTGTGGTGTGTGTGTGTGTCTTTCCAACAGAACATATTTTGTCACAGATAAAAACTGTAGCCTTAAGAATTACAGTTAAAGAACCAAGATATATCATGTAAAGGTACAAATTCCCAATGATGAATGTCATCATATTGTATGCCTTAAAATGTAACAATAAACTTGATGAATTAAAAAAAAAAAGAATTACAGTTGAATTTGTCTGAGAGTCTACCATTTAGCCCCTAAGTAGCTATGTGTACTAAGCTTTCATCAGTTTTGGTTTCAAAATGTGTAGCTTTTATTTTATTATTTGACTTACTTTTCTTACTCATTCTCATTTTTTTTTAATAGGATGACTGTTATCTACAAATTGAGATAGTTTTACCTCCATTTCCTAGGACTCTAGCTTCTCTTGTGTAATTATCCTGGCAGATACCATCAGTGCAGCATTTCATAGTAGTGGAGGTGATGAGCATTGTTGCCTTGTTTCAGTTTAAAGGAAGCTTGTGCTGTGTTTGCACTTAGTAATATGCTGGCCCTGATGCTTTTATTTTTGAAATAAAATAGTTTTGTAAGGTATTTTAAAGTTAGTTGATGTGAGTTAGTTTCTTTTTCTGGTAACCAGTAAATACCTCAAAGTGTACAAGTATTATTTCTGGCAAAATGCTTTTTCTTTAAGATCATATTTTTTGGTACTAATAATGCCCAACTGTTACTTTCTTCTTTGGAGATTCAAAATTTATGTAAGTTGGCCATATATTTTTTTGCCTGCCGTATATTTTAACTACTGTCTCTATAAACATTTTTACTTCTTTATCTAATTATTATTCTTCTAGTTCTTTTTCTGCTTTTCTTTAATGCTCCTTACTAAATTTTTATCCCCCTACTTTGAATTTCTTTTGGTTTCCATCAACTACTGTTTCATTTCTTCATGATTTCTTTTGTTACTTTCTGTTCTGCTTTTGAATTTCAGTTCATGCTCATTTTCTGTTTTCAAATGCTCCTTTGAGAGTATTTAATTCACTGAAGTGTGTTATATTACAGTTTTCTTTTGGTCTGTTCTTGATTTTTTTGTGGGTAATTTTCACCAGTTGGATTGCTTTGATTTTCATTTTGTTTTCAGTACTTAGATTACTTTCATCTTTGCATTTCCCTAAATAGGGTTGGTGGTCTTATTTTGCAGTAGCTTGCAAGATTCTGAGTACAAGAACACCCTCTCACAACAGCAAAGAATTTTTTCTTTTCTGTGGTGTCTTTTGGCAGGGAGGGCATGCCCAGGAAGGGGCATATGTTAGATTATTCTGAAGTGTATCTTGAAAGATTCTAAATTTCCCCCTCTAAATTCCCTTTCCCATTACCTGAAGGGACATCTCTTCCCTTGCTTCTTTTTTAACCCTTTTTTCCCCTCAAAAGACATCCTTTCCTAAGACATCCTCATTCTTTTCCTTCCTTTATGTCTCTTTCTGATCTACCAGTCTTCTCAGATCTACCAGGAATCTTTTTCAATATTATTACTAGAGTTTTAGGGAGCAAACCTCAGCTAAGAGGTCCCAACAAACTGGGCTTAGCCATCCATTCCAAAATGCCAGGCAGGGAGATGTGTCCTGGACAGGACCTTTGACCAGCATGGCCTTGCTGGGAAGGACAGACAGAGAGGGTTAAGATCTGTTTCCAGGGGCTGCTAGAAACATTGAGTTTTTACGGCAAAGGGAAACAAAGGCAAGAGTTTGGCCTTTGTATAAGCTGGGCTGTTTGTGAAGCTGGCAGGGTAGGTAGTCCTGGTCAAGCCATGGTGTGGTTCACACTGTCTTAGGACTGGCTCTGCAGGGTTTCTCCAGAGAAGTCCTTATGGCTTGAGGACTCAGTCCAGTCCCCTTGAGATGATTGCTTCTGCTTTGGGGTAGCATCAGGGGCACTGACCTCAATATGGGGTACTCTCTGAGGCTCTGCTTTTTCTGAAAGACTAAGGTAATTCTTGGTTTAGAGCCATAACTGGAGACTTTGAGGCATCACTCCAGTGGTGTGGAAAAGGCATTATAAAAACTGGCAGTTGGATGTCCTTGTAAATCTTGCCTCAGTTTTGAAGGGGAATGAAGTTAGTTAGGTAAATTTAGGGGTAATAAACCTCATATGTCCAGTTTTTAAACATGTACTCCTTAAGTGATTAACATGCAGAGCTTAGCAGGAATCTGTCCCAAAGTTTTAAGGTGACAAAAGAGATAATGAAATGAAGACAGAGATACCAACTTTTTGCCTGCTTTAAATTGTCTGTTGGGCACCTACAATCTCAGCCTCTATATCCCTGTTACAAAAACCTTACAGTTTTAGCCAATGAAATTAAAAGGAAACATTTTATTTATATTTTGTCATTCTAATCAACTGTTATTATATTTGTTCATGTAATTTTTATTACATTTTTGTTTATAATTTTATTGTATATTACTAGATTTACACTATTTTCATCTGCCTTCTCAACATATTGAAATTTTCTTTTTACTTTTCTACAAACCTTTCCTAATGTTAACTTATAAATTAGTGTTTTAAGTGTATAACACTATATTTTCCTTAAAAATAGAGAAGTCCATATTGGCTGGGCAGTTAGAGATTGAAGTGGACATTTCTTATTTAAAATGCCTCAAAAGCAGTACAGTGTTTATTTCCTTGTCTTTTGAGGTTAATTTCCAATAGATCTTTTTTAATAGCATTTAAATTTCTTCCAGAATACAGAGATTCTTAGGAAGATAAATTAGGTAATGCATACTGAAAAACTGAGTTGTTTATATATTTTGATGAAATAAAGTTTCCTCTCCTTAATGTTAGCAGCAATATCGAGTAAAGTGAATAGATTGGTAGCTCATAGATAAACTGTAGGGATAAGGCACCATTTTATAAGTTATTGATTTAATGTTGGTAAAAGCTTCACTGTTATGGGCAAAAAAACACACCCCCGAGTTTGTGCAGATGTTTTATTGTGATAGATCTATTATCCAGCTATTAGAAGATAAATGGCTGATCTTTCTATTTTCCATGCCTCAAGAAAATTGAAATAAGAAGGGGAATATCATTTGGACTGTATGATTAGGGCAGGTTGGATGGCCATTAATTTAAGGAAAGAAAATCTTGGCAGCATTGGCCAACTTATACCATATTATCAATCAAACCTTGATGCACTTCTTGTGATGACCCAGCACTCTCAGGTTTTTGCAGCGTTAATTAGAATTCATGACAAAATAGATGCAAGGAAACGTTTTGTACCCTTCATAATTTTATAGAAAATTTATTGTTATTAGAGGAACCATTTGCTTAGTGTGATTTTTTTCATTACCAGCTTGTCAACTAGCATAGATAATCTGGAGAAAATATGAACCCCATAGATGGGGTGTCACTCTTGTTGATGGTTCATGTAGTTTACCTTGGAGCACAGCTAATGGCTGAAGTTCATAGCAACAGCACAGAAAAACGTGGCAACCAAGGGGAGATAAATGAACCATGTTTATTGCTTTAATATAAAAAATACATAAATGGAAAACTGCATTTGAATTTGATGAGCTCATTGCTAGTTTTGTTGGAGTGATTTATGTTTCCTCTTATATGAAAAGCTACTATTGACACAGTGAGATGGAAATTAACTGTTTGCTTTTTGGAAACCAATACTTTTGGTTTTAAAATCTGAGTAGTTCATTTTATTTTAATTCTGAATGTTTTATAGAATATTGAACATTTAATAGACCAAAATTATCAATTCTTCTGCTAGTGTTTAGCCTAGGGTCAAATAATTAAAACTGTACAATGAAGCATCCAAAATGGTCAGTTTTGTTTTGCAGATGTACTTTCTTTACATTCTTTCTAGTTATTTTAATGTTTCTTTAAGCCTTATTTGTATTTACATACTTTTTTCTTTCAATGATATTTGTAGTACTTGAGAATGTGTTAGTGCTTCCCAGTTGTTCTATACTTACAATTCTTGGTTTAATAAATTTAATATTATGTGGTAGCTGATTTTCCATTTAATTGTTTACTATCTAAACACATTTGGAGAAAAAATTTCTAGGTTTATACGTAATAACTTGATTTTATATAGCATTTTAAAAATTAAAACTATTGAGTTAATAAATTTCATAGATTCTAAGGAGTGTTTTATTTTTATCCTTTAACATCCTTTATCAATTGATATAAATATTATAATATTGGTGTATGTATAAAGTATATAGAAATGTTTATGTCTCACAAATAATAAATTATTATGCAGTCTGATATTGTAAACTTAGTTGTTTTAAGAGATTTTTAAAATTGTACTAATTGTAGTCTTACAGAAATATGATTATCACAGAATCATTTTTGAAAAGTAATTTATGCAGAAGACATAAAAATGTGGAGTTGAAAATATGCAATTTAACCTCCTTCCCATATCAATAGCAAATAGAAAATTATACATATAATACATTTTTATTTAGTTCACACAAATAATCAATTCTTTGCTTTTTCGATTGAGGTGCATACATGCTGGGGCCAGCAGGCACCAGTACACAGGCAGGGCTGGAGTCAATAAATGCGGCTTCACGTTTATACTGATTGGTAATTCATAAAATCCCCACAGGACTTGAAACTTGTTTAGCATAATAGCAAGTCTATATTCTGAGCTGTTTTCTTTCAATTGTATTGTTGGTTGCATATTAATAAACTAAATGTCGGCCAAGTAGGGGGAAAACACTCAAAATATGAATATCATTGTATCTAATATTTTTCAAAAAGTACCATTTCAGTAAGTTATATTTCTATTTAATTGCTTATTTTAAGTCGTTGGGGAAATTTTAGACACAAAAATGAAGATTCCCTCGTGTTCAGAAAGAATATGATATTAATTTGTTTTTCAGAACCGTATTGTTGGCTAACTGCATGTACATCAGTGGTAGATACATAGAAATATTTATGTATTATATATTCTGCTTACCTTGTATCTTCATACTAAAGGAGTCTTAGTTTCACCTAAGACTTATAAAAGCACGATAGTTCAAAAATCAGCATTTATGATTCATTAATTGATCCTTGGGGAAGTTGTCTTTTTTGAATAACATTCCAGTTTACACGCATTATTATAAAAGTAATAATCATTTATTAAAATTTCAGCTAATGTGTTTTCTTTGTAAATTATGTTGGTAAAATTGCATTGTGATATATAAGATTTGGAAGTATTTTTGTTTTAAAAACATGAGTTTCTCATTTGTTTTTTAAAGTTCACTGTGACAGTATTGTCCTTTTCACTTAAAACGATAAAAGTGTGATCTTCACTTAGATTATATAGTTAGCAACTAAAAAATGAATCTGTACAATTTAGATTAGCTAAAAATTGTTCATTAGAAATGTGAACAATTAATGTTAAACAATTTATTGGAATTTAACCTGATGAAATAAAAATTTATCAGGACACATATGTACAGAAAGCATTACTATTCCAAATGTAATAACTACAAGCATTTTAATATGTGTAACAACTGCAAGTATTAAAATTATTTTTTGAGTAGAACCTGTACTTTAAAGTTTAATATTTAAACAAGAGCATTCATTTTAATTGAATGACAAAATACTTTATTGTGATAACACTGATTACATTACTGTAATATGGGCAGAAAACTGTTTTTAATGAGTTGCTATTTCTTTCTTTTTTAGCTGGTAGCTGGCAGTGTTGTGATGGCTTTTGAAGAAGTATGCCCTGATAGAATAGATCTGATTCACAAGAATTACCGCAAGCTATGTAACTTACTAGTTGATGTGGAAGAGTGGGGGCAGGTGGTCATAATCCACATGCTAACTCGTTATGCTCGTACACAGTTTGTCAGCCCTTGGAAAGAGGTAAGTGTCAGTCTTTTACTTACAGGGCATACTAAGAGAATGGAAGAACTTTTAAAATGTGTACAAAAATTAAGAGTAATAAAATATAGAAATCTGCCTATTTATCAAGCACTCAGTTCTTTTATAAAAGCAGAAAAACAGTATTAAAAAATCCAAGAACTGTCCTTTGTATTGGCATCGACACATATTTAATGGCCTAGTACATAAACTTTTAGTATGACACCTGGCAAGATGCCTTTGTTAGGAACAGTCACAGATACAGTGTTTACAGTGACGTTGCCAAACCATGAAAAAAAATTGTTTTTGGTTACTAGTTAGTTTCACACCTTTGAGTTGTAGTTATTGTACATATTCATTTGTAAAGTCGGTAATGTTAGTCTATAATGTGACTTTTTACCTTAAATAATTAATTTCTTGCCTAGATAAATACTGTTGAACTTGCTAATTTTTCCTAGTTTTATGTTTCTAAAATATTTCATTTTTCCACTTGAACTAATTATATTTTAATAAAATTAATGAATATACCTTAAAATCAGGTAATTTTCTTCTGCAGGTTAACATTAGAAGCATTCCTTATTCTTTTTGTTATGTAAGAATTTAGAAACATTTAATTTTATTGCATAGTTAATAGAGGTCAGTCAGTATGTATATCTAAGAATGAAATGTAAATTTTAAACTCGGTTAAAGAAATTTTTAAATATTATGAGGTGCCATATTCACCTTGTCCTTGGATGTCTTTTCTTTATAAAATGTATTATAGATTATAAGTATTATAGATAGTAAGAATCAGTTAAGAAATACAAGATTAGGAAAAAATCCTATTGTATTAAAGTGTATTATACACAAACTTATGTATAGGCCTTGAGTGGTTAGTACATCTTGTTTTTGTTAATTAGAAGTAATATTAACGTCAGAGAAAAATGTAAATAAAATTGAAAAATGTTTATTATATATGCTTTAGATAATATAAAATTTATAAATATAAAATGTTTTATCAGTTTTTCTATATTAACTTAGTATTTGTTGACATTAAAAACTATTTAAAATCTTTATCCAAAACATTGTCAGATTGATTTAATCCCTATTATTTATTTAGTATTGGATATTGAATCTAGGGCTGCACACATGCTTAGCACATGCTGTACTGCTGAGCTGTACCACTGGCTCCTCAATTTTAATTTTAACAAAGTGGTTATAATCTTAAAGATTCATGTGTAGTTTGAATTACTAATATACAAAATCTTTTGCTACATGGGGCTCTTAAATTGATCAAAATTTGTCTTTGGGTGCTTTTATTTTACAGAGTTAATTTTATTTATCTTTGACCAACGGTTTTGAAGGCACTTTCGCTGAATTAAGTTACCATGTATAATGAAACTGTCTTGTTCTTTTGATGGTATGTTTGACAAGAGATTTCTGTTTCTTGTAGCTTGTTAGACTTCAGCCAGTTTCTTTGAAAAGTGCTGCTCAGTTATTAATTTTTCTGTTTTGTAAATTTATAGATATTTTGGCATATGTAATGATTTTCATCATTCAAAATTTTGTTGTTTTACTGTGCTATCATTGTCAAATGATTTTCATTAGGTGTGTACAAATAAGTGACTTTCCCTTGTTAGACATTTGAGCTTAACTGGAATTGGGCTAAGTCATTTATTCTCTGTGCTATCTGACTTTGGCACTGTTCTAAATGCTGTGGTTATTAAACTAAGTTAGTGGTTTTTCAAATACGCATCTCAGCCCTGTGGATGCTGTTTGGAGCTTTGCTACAGAAACAACTACTGTGTGTGGGTGGGTGGGGGCAGTGCTGCTGAGCTGTACTTGCTTGGCTGGCTGTTCTTATGCTGTTGGATATTATTTCTTTTGAGAAAGATTCCTTGGCTTAAAGAAAAAAAGAAGGGGAAAAAAGAAAACTCTAATAAACTGTGGTCATATTTTTTTCTAGTTACAAAAGTATATGGTAAAATAGTTTCCTTTTCATAACCTCTTGGTTGACACCTAAGAGGCAATTATTGGCAACCATTTAATTTCAGTTATTCTGGTAGTTTGAATTTTACTTTAAGAAAACATTTTACTTTATTTATTAACTAAAGGTGTTATCAGTTGACCTCAATCCATGGAAGAATTGTTCTTTGATTGTTAAATTAATAACAGTCTTATTGAGCCCAGAACAATCAAGGTAATACCTCTGTATGTTTAATTATATGTTTTGTTCAGAAGCAGACTGAATCCTTATTGTAGATGAGAATTAGGGATTGTGATCTATGCTAAGTTCTTTGTTCAAGTACATTTTATAAAACTAAGGTTCAGATAGGTGATCAATACCTGGACCCTGTCCATGCTTTCCCCCTTTCTAACACATGTCCGCCTTTCTCTGATTATCTGTTTGTTTTCCTGAGAAACTTTGGAGTGAGCAGTTGAACCATTTGTAATCTTAGAGGTTTTCTAGCCCAGATCTCCAGTTCCTTCTAGCTCTTCAAAACACTACATAATAATTATAGGATTAGAAATTTGCACATTGAATCACAAAGCCATTTTAAACCATAGCTGGAAGAAACTATTAAAGTATTTGGCATTTCTGCCATCTGGTTTACATCTGATAAAGTAAAAAGCCATGTAAAGAAAGTAATATCATGTAAAGAATGGCTAAGATTATTACCAAATAGAAAGACAAAGTGGAATAGTACTCCAGAGAGTCAGTGCTGAGTGGCTGCCATCCTTTTTTATCCTTTTTTTTTATGGTACCAGGGATAGAACTTGGGACTTTGTGCTTGAGAGGCAGGCTGTGGCACCACTGAGCTAAATCCCCGGCCCCTTTTTTGTCCTTTTGCCACCAATACTTTTGTGGAAACAGGAGAGAAATGTTTTTACTTATCTATCATTTTCTCTCAGGTATAAAAAGTCACCTACATAAACATTGTGGGAATGTCATTTTACTGTAAATCAAGGTTCATTTGGGAAGAGCACATCAATAAAATAATACATTGATTTAAAACTTAATTTGAGGGCCAGGGATTTAGCTCAGTGGTTTTGGCACCTGCCTTGCAAGTGCAAGGTCCCGAGTTCGATCCCTGTACCAAAAAAAAGAAAAAAACTTATTTGAAATAAAGAGTTTGTCATATAAATTCGTTGACATCAAACAGTTTCTCTAATATTAAGAGAAAATTTGAAGATGGTACTAATACTTTATATATTGAAACTTACTTTGTTGTACTTTACTGAGTATTATTTTATTTTATTATTTATTTATTGTATTTTTATAGGGCAGTCATAATTATTAGGCCTATTTTGTAGATGAAGAAACTGAGACACAGATTTTAACAATCAATCTAAGATAAAAGGTGGTGCTTATAAAAGGTGGTGCTTATAAAGGGTGGATCCAGAAACAGTTACCTGATGACCAGGCCATTGTTTTTTCCCTTATATGCTATTATATTGTGCTATTTAAATTAAAACCTTTTCTGTTTTCCATAATAAGTTTTTGTTTATTGTGTTCTTGTTAATACTAACTTGAAACCCCAGTCCATAGGGCACAGCCATTGCAGTTAGCTAACAATTATAATTAAATTTGCTTTTCAAAAGAAGAATCACTCTTCTCACTGAATTTTGTTCCGTTCTGTTTTGTTTTTTGTTTGTTTTTGGTACTGGGGATCGAACTTCTCACTGAATTTTGAAAAACATTTGTTTATGGTAATATACTTGAAGGGGAGCAAAAAAAATTGTTTTTGAGGAATCGGAAATCTGTAGAAACGCTTTTTGAGATGAGCTGGTGTGCATACCTTTGTCAGTAAGTTCTCAAATGAACACATCATATACAAACAAACTTCTTCAGGGCAGAAGAGATTTTAATTTAGTTTATTTGCATCATTATAGATCAGTATTTAGGCTGTTTATATGTAAATGTATGATTTGAGGAACAATTAAGTGTTGACAAAGTAGATTGCAGTCATATCAATTGCACTCCGTTTTCCATAATTTTTCTAACTGACATCTTTGATGATAAATAGTGGATGCCAAGTCAAAGCCGATTATCCAGTGCACTAGGAATTCATGGGGCTGTCAGGGAGAAGACCGATTGACTTTAAATTTACATATTAATGAGAAGATTTGTTAAGAGGGTGCTTGACTATAGAAAATAACAGCATATTTATAGGGCACGACATTTTATAAATAAAGCTGATGCAGGAAAATGGAAATTAAACCTTTTAGGTTAATACATTCAAGAGACTGGTAAAATGCATATTTGCATTTTTATTTTCTTAAATTTACCTTACTCTATGCAGTCTATATGGGTTGTTTTTATTCTAGGTCAGGTTTATATAGTTTCCAGGGTTATAAAATTACATAAGTATTCTATTTCTCATGCAAGCCTATTATGGGAAAATACTGGACACACAACTAATTCTCTAACACTAACATTGCTTTTGTAAAAATAATAAATTTGAAAAATCATTATAAAACACAAAATAAATTTTAAGAGAATTTAAAAGAAAACCAAAACCTTTTGGTGGTATTAATTGTAAACTGAGATGAAGTTGACATTGATACCTGACAAGAATGTTTTTACTTTTGTTAACTTAACTCTTTAAAATTGAACTGTGACTAAGACATGACAGTTATGTTAGAAATTATCAAAAATATTTTCAGCTCAGTGGTGCTGTTGCCTGTCTTGCAAGCACAAGGTCCTGAGTTTGATCCCTGGTACCAAAAAAAAAAAGATTTTTTTTCAGTAATTTGAAACATAAAGCTAAATACTCTCCAATTACTTTTGAGAATATAAATACAGGTAATATAATTCTAATGGCAGTATTTGTGTAATTTTGAAACTTGTAATGATTACTTTGTCTCTAGTATATTTGTACTTCAATTATAAAACCTTATATATGTTGAAGAAAGTTGTTTTTTTTTTAATTCTTTTATTGGTACATTGTAGGTATACAACACAATTACATTTCTCATTGGGAATTGTACCTTTACATAATGCATCTTGGTT